AATCAAAACTTTTATTAGTTCTGCTCAAAAGTCACTCAAACAGGGCGCGTTTGGTTCTTGTATTTTGAGGGTGAAAGTGGGTGAAAGCCTGCCAATTTCACCCCAAATCGCCCCAAAAAGAGGCGATTTGGGGTGAAAGCTGCCACAGATTTGACCCTGTGGCAGGCTTTCACCGATAAAATACCAAAACCAAACGTGCCCTCAATGGGTACTAACCCAGGCTGCGTGGCCAATTGCCTTGGGCATGAATTGTTCATTGGCTCAAAAGTTTTATAAGATAACTTAGCGAAGCAAAAGCTTTTTGTCAAAAGCAAAAGCTTTTTGTCAAAATTGGAAAGTACCTTTTCCACCAAACATTATAGATCCATTTTTCGCTTACTATTATGTGGATTATGATTTATATATTGGCTGAAACTTGTTGTATGGCCAGCATTAACCTTAGTGAGGATTTCGAACAAGCTAACTATTCACGCAAATATTACTATAGTTGCTTTAAACAGGATACTTTTTTTTTTTTTGAGATAGGTTGGGAGTGAGTCCCTAACCACCATTCCTGTGATACCCAATATGTTATAGTCTCATATCAGATATGTGATGAAATAAGATAAGTTTATATATATAGTCAGTGATCAAGAGAGCCAAGCGGCGAAAGTAGCTAGTGTTTTTGAGGGTGGATTGAGCGAAACAACATGTTGCACTAAGTGGGTTTGAAGACTCATCACGCCTCAATGGAGTCACGATGAGAACGGATCGAAAGACGACAAAACTAGGACTGATGGCTTAAGAAATTTCCCAATGCCACCGAATTCCAACAATTTGTGTGCAGTAACAGAGAAGAAGGAGAAACAAAGAATGAGAACAGAAAGACCAGTCAAAAGCAAAAGACTGAGGCATTGGCATTTAAATTTTGCATGGAACTTAAGATACATATTGAAATTTTGCGTGAAAAGGCAGAGAACTGTTGGTAGGTATCAATATCGCTCCCACAAGTTTAGCGGGTCACGGGTTCGTGGTCCGTGCAAACCCGTTTGCTTGCTCACTCTTTGATCAATGATGGTGGGACAGAAGGAAGTGGTTCACTGATTCCACTGGATTCTGCTACTATGCGCAAAGACTTCAGAGGCATTCTATGGAGCACGCGTGATAAACGCATGAAGAGGAGAAGTGTCCGAGGAAACAAGCGGAAAGAAAAAATAAAGAAAGAAAAACAAAAACAAAAATCTTAATATTTTGAAATTAGCACCCTAGCTCAAATCATTAAAATTAGTCCGTTTGTTTGGGTTGGGGAATTTTAGTCCCCCCGTCTACTACGATCTTCGCAACTCGAAAGTCAACCCACAATCAACAAGATAGAAAACAACCGTAATCAAGAAGAATAGCACCGAAATTTACGTGGTTCGGTCGACCAACTTCGACCTACATCCACAGGGCAACAATACGAGAATGTTGTCCTCATCTTCAATCACCACATCTACATTCGCCAAATCCGCAAGAAGCTTCGTGTAGTGGTTCATGTGATCACCAATGGATGTTCCTTTCTACAACTGGAAACGGTAAAGCCTCCTCTTCAAATGCAAGCGATTCTCCACACTCTTGGTCAAATACTTGCTCTCAAGGATCTCCCAAATCTTCTTTGCAGAAGTCTCATTGATCACATCATACTTTAGATCTTGAGTGAGACAAGACCTAATCACACCACACGCCGTTCGATTCATCTTTTTCCAAACCTTCTCATCAATGTTGTCCGGTTTCCCGTCCAACTCCAACGTATCTTCCAAATTTTGCGCGTTGAGCGCATCCATGACTTCGCATCGCCAAAGTCCAAAATTGTTTGTGCCACACTTGTTGTGACGGACGGCGGCGCCGAGGAACCAAAACAAACGCCGATCAAAGAAGGCCAAAAACAACTAAATATCAATGCACAAACCCAAACACCAATCTTAACGTGGTTCGGCAATTGCCTACGTCCACGGGGCAAGAAGGGGGAGGGTTTCCACTAATAGAGAAGGAGAGTACAAATTAAGATTACAAATCGCTCAAACGAACCAACTAATCTCACCAACAAATCTCTCAACCTCTCAACCAATAACCCTAACCAATAGCTCAGAAAGATCTCTCTTTTCTGTGCTCCAAAATCCCCAAATATGCTCCTACAAAACCCTCAAATCGTATTGGTATTTATACCAAAACAGAAACCCAAACAGACTGCAAATAGGAACCTGAACTTTCAAATAAAACCGTCGTAAGTCGACTTATCAGTCTGCATAAGTCGACTTGGCAGAGCGAAAAACGACAACTGGAGAAGAGTTCATAAGTCGACTTATCAGACCTGATAAGTCGACTTGCTAGAGCCCAAAATCAACAATCCACAGCAGATCGTAAGTCGACTTACGACACAAACATAAGTCGACTTACCATAAGTCGACTAATGTCTGTGCATGAGTCGACTTATGACCAAAAATCTGCTTTTTCCAAGTTCTCCTCCACAGAGAAATCCACTATGTATTAGGGAGAGCTACAAAAGAAACCACTCAACTCTCATCTCTTAATCTCTCAACTTCACGTTCATAATCACCTCTCACATTCTTTCCAAAAGCCCTTTTCTTACAATCTTTTAAACGGACAAAGACTGTGAAACCCTCTCCTAATGTTGTAATCTTTTAAACGGACAAAGACTACGAAACTTCCGCCTCTCGCACAATATTCTTGAATTCCGCCACGCCATCTGCTAACCCTAGATTACAAGAATATTGGTTATCTCCACTCTCCTTGGTTTTTCCTCCAACAATAAAAGAATATATATTTATGGAAACGAAAAACCTAACTTCCTAATTAGAATAGGATTTAAACTCTTAATCATAATGAGACTCAACCTTTTAATCATGATAGATCTCTAACCATATCTAATTCTTATAAAGTTATACAAAAAAATTAAAGACACACTCCTAACAGTTTGTTACTCTATATCTGTTAACCATCGTTAGTCACATTTTCCCCTTCAAATTCCAAAAGATTTGAAGAAAAACGACTAAGAGCCCGTTTGGATAATAAAAGTATTGGAAATAAGAAGTAGGTTATAGAAGTAACTTTCAAAACTATGAATTAGGAAGTAGTGGAAATAGCCATTTTTTTGTTTGTTTCATATATTTTTAGAAGTAATGAAAGTAGAACTTCTTCCTCTTCATTTACTTTTTTTGTTTGGATAATATTTGAAAATATTACTAGGAAGTAATTAACACATGTTGCTTCCATAATTTTAAAGTCATGTCACGCTCTTTAATTTGATCTAGTACGTTACAACCAGTTTCATGCCGCTATGACCCCTCGCCACTTGAGAACAAGAAGAATTCTTCAATCACATAGCTTCAAAATAATTGTTTACCTCTCGCCTACGATGAGACTCCGGATGACCATAAATTCCTATGAATCTCCAATTTCCCTCCTCCCTCGCTCCTTTGATCGTAACATCAACGTTGTATTTAGACAGAATTAATAAACAAACTGTTCTCTTCATCCCAAAGAAAAGCTAGCCGACGACCATCATAAATTACTACAAAATAATTGTTAAAATTAAGAGCAATTTTATCAATGAAAAGTTGTTGGAAGTAACTAATAAAGAAAATATTAATAAAAAAATATTTATTTTCTAATTAATATGCATTTCAACTACTTCTGAGCATTAAGGATTGAAAAATTATTTTAAAAGTAAGAATGACACGTAGGCGTCACATAAGCTTTTAAGGAAGTATCGAAAGTAAGTTTTTCAGAAAACCAAACACATTTTTTTAATTGGAAATAGCAGAAGTAGCAGAAGTAGCATCTACTTCTTTTACTTCAGCTACTTCATAATTACTTCAATGCAAACAAACATGCCCTACATGAATGTGTAGGAAATGTACAGAAGTTCCAATTATTGCCTGCTTTTCCCATCTCTGGCTATCAATTAATTTCTTTAAGGTAAATTACAGTGAACTCCCATGAGCTTCCAGCATTTTATACTAATGAACTTTCAAAATCACACTAAACTCTCATTAACTTTTTCATTTTGCGAAAAACTTCCATTAAGTTTCCACAGTTTGCAGATAATCCCCATAAGTTAGAAGCAAAAAACAAACATAAAAAGTCATGAAAGTTATTGGAGGCTTAATGTAATTTACCCAAAAGATATTGCGAGTTTTATGCAAAAGATATTGAACGTTCAGTGTGATTTTTGAAAGTTCTTAGGGGTTCAGTGCAAAATGCTGAAAGTTCACGTGGTTTAACTGTAATTTACCCATTGATTTGTGCAGTTACAAAGAGAGTACAGCACTAAACAACTAAATATATTCCCAATTCCAACGTTATAGAGATTTGAGCAGATGGATCCTTTCTATGCATCAGTGGAGCTCAAATTGCTCTGCTCTCTAATCATGAGAAGAGAATTATCTTCTTCATTTTTTTTAGGACCAGAAATGTGAAATCTCATTTGGTGTTGATACAGTGAATACCTGTTTAATTAGAAATAGAAGCGTATTACAAGTCACAACAAGAGTGATTTCACCATGTGGAGGAGAATTGAACTGCAAAATTAACCTTCTACCAATGTCTCAAACATTTACCAAGTTTAATTAGTTTACAGACTTGAAAACATTGAAAAATAACATAAAAGCAAGGCTCAGCGATTTCTTATCTGGAGCAACAAAAGAAAAGTCAACGTAAGAAAGTATAAATTACAAAACATTCACTAGATTGAGGATTGAAGTTTGAAGTTAAAGAATAGACTGAAGAACATTCCTGTTGCTAACTTCAGATGGATGGAAATGATCATCAGTTTCTATAAACTCGATACAATTTTTTTTTTTTAACTTCCTAGTTGTTAAGATGTAACGTTTGCTTCCACTTACAATTAATTTTGTTTCATTCACATTGTTGTCTGCATAATATTGTTCATAATGTTAAGATGTTTCAGTCACCTATTTCTATGTATATTGTAAGTGTTGGTTCTCAAGTTTCAAGAATGCTTTCCAGGGCAAGGTATTAAGGTAAACCATATAAACTCTCAAACCAGGAGGTAATTTATGACCAGTCTAATTTATGTATAATGTTATGATTCCTAAATGAATGAGTAAGCATAAGTACAGAAATTACACTTGCCTCTTTTGCCCCATCTCTCACTAATAAACCAACTAAAATTCCCAGAGAACTCTTTTTCTGCTATATATGGAGTTTCAAACTGCTCTGCTCTTTGATCTCATCTCTGATCATGAGGTGAGGATATCTTCTTCATTTTCTGGGGGTAGCTTCAACTGATCGCCGCTCTCTCTTCCAGGGTTATTTCTGCTCCTGAACTCCCATCCATATTTAGCAAGGACTTGATGTGTGAAATCTCTTTCGGCATTGATCCAGTCAATACCTGCTCACACAAATCAGAAGATCTAATCAGCAAGAGGGAGTTTTAATGTGAGGGGAGAATTTGAACTGTAGAAAGTATTCACCTCATAGCCAGTATCAGTGATGAGCACTTCGTCCTCTATCCTAATACCAATGCCTCGGTACCTGCAATTTTGATCAGTTTTGCGACTAACAACATTGAAATTTGCAATCAGTCATATGTGGCATAAGAAGCTTGGCTTAGGTATTACCTATCCGGAGCATCAAAAGAGGGGGCGATATAAACTCCTGGCTCAATTGTTATTACCTGCACAGATAAAAGTTATATTAGAGCTCAGATCGAAATACATTCAGCTACATTATTTGCAGATGCACACTCTGCACAATGAGATTTAGCTATTATTATTCACCTCTGTTCAATTTTATTAGCACATAATCCTCTGACATACTGTTCCTTTTTAGAATCTTGTAGAATCGCATGATGGTTAAAGACACTTACTAAGGACAATCACATCAGGTTCTTCATCAATTATAAAAGCTAAGAAGAAAATAACAGTGTCAAGGGGACAAAGAGCAGTATGTGCTAATAAGTGATAAGAATGAAAGACTTTTCTTTGCTTTTAGGAACTAATCACTTACAACACCAGGCTGCAGAGGGCGGTCGATGCCAACAGTGGCGGAGTCGTGAATATCCATTCCTAAATAATGACCTGGCTCAATGGAGGGGAGATGATGTTATTAACACATATAACCAAATCAATGCTACTTCTGTAAAGTTCAATTGTACTATCGGTTAATTGCCAATACGTAAACTACATGAAAACACTGTTAATGTAAAGCCTTTCAAGATAAGGTATATTGAATAACCTATTGCAGTAGGATTCAACTGATGGTATGAAAAGCTGCTCTCATCTTTTAGAATTCCAAGCTCTTTAAATCCTTTCCTCAGCATTTGAACCTGCAACACGGTAAGTTATCAGGAATCAATAACATTTGCATAATTTCTATTATTAGGTTAGATGAGATGGAAACAAGTAGATGAGACAAAACTGTAGACTATATGAGACAATTGTAATAAATATACCGTGAATTAGAGGGGGAAAAACCTAATTTATCAAAGATACAATCGCCAAACATTATTGAAATAATAATGAAATGTTTAGAGAGTATTTTTAGAAGATAAATTACGACATATCTTAAAGGAGTCTTTGATGAGAGGAAGTCACATCGGGTAAACTTCTAAGACACATTTAAACCAAAAGTAAACTGGTTGTAGACAGTTATGAGTTACCAGAGGAAAAAGAAAAGGAAGTGGCAACAAATTGAACAAATATAAACAAAAGAAAAAAATAGTACGAAACTAAATACAATTTATAAAAATATGCAGTAAATATAGAATGAGATCATTATAATTCATCAACAAAGTCTTTTCAGTCTACAGTTAGTAGTAACACAAGTCACAGATCTCTGAACATACCGAATAATTATGTATTTGCTGAATGCTTGCACCTGGTTTGCAAAGCTTCATGCTTTCCTTGTTAGTCTCCAGTATGAGACTATATAGTTCTCCCTGAAAAAAACCAGTTTTCAAATTGCGAGATTATTTTCCAGCTAAAATTTTACAATTTCAGTCTGAACTCTGAGTAAGCAGCGAACAGGACAAAACCATGGATCATTGTTAAACAAAGTTTATTAGTATGCAAATAGTACAACATAAATATATTTTCTTCTGAGAAGTTTTGGAATAACATGAAATTTTAGTTATCTGACAGTGAATTAGCATAGAAACTTAGAAATATGCTTAAGAGGTTGTTAATATGAGAGAGAATGCTGGAAAGTTTATCAAAGATATCTGAACGATAACCTTAGTCAATGCCAAAATTTTCATAATAATAAAAGCTTTTCACAAACAAAATGGACATCTATTATTATAATGGCGACTGTAACGGCGAAGATCTACCAAGAAGAACCAACTCCGGTAAAGATTTCAACAAGCTAAAGTATTTACTCAAATATTCACTAGGATTGTTTTAAACTGTTTGATATATAGCTAATACTTATCTTGAGAATAGAAAGTTTGAACAATAAACACACCTGAGCAGTGGAAAAGCTACCGCTAGGCGGCCAGGTACGAGTTAGGTCACTAAGGTAACCATGCAACTCACAGCCGACATCCATCAGAACAAGATCTCCACCACCAATCTGTTCAACTTAAATAATCAAATTAACTATATAATATTATAATCAAAAGCCTGATTGTTAGAAGCATATATAATTAAAGAACTGATATTACTTTCTGATCATTTCGTGCATAGTGAATAACACTTCCATTCGCCCCACCTCCAACCACAGGATTGAACCTAGCCAAAGTCAATAAGAAACATTAAGAAAAAATGTCAATATGACCAGCTATGATAGCTTTAATCATACGTGAACAGGTAATTAGGAATGATGTTAGAATGCATGACATGTAGAAATAAGAGTTTCCCTATAAGATAATAAAATGCTTACGCCATTCTCTGTGCACCTCTCATTCTGCATTCAAATTCAACTTTAGCTGATAGCTTGCTCTCCTCTGGATGCGTCCTTGACAGCAACATAGTTTGCAGAAGGGCCTAAACAACAAGAAAAAAGGTTTTGCATCAAGCATAGTATTAATCTTTAAAATCGCTAACATACAACCAAGTAGGGTGAATCTCACAAATATGGACCATCGTCGCAGATTGATTTTAACTAAGTCTAAAACATATGGAAAACTTACATACTAACAAAATAATGAAGAGCCAATAAAGTTCTAAAACAATACCATATGATAATTGATAACCAAACAAATTAAGAGAAAGAATATAAAATTGAGAAATTTTTATTGCACATGTAGTGGTTTTCCTAGGGGCTTGCATTTTGAATGTAAGGAAATTCATTACTGTCTCAAGCAGAAAGCTCTTCCAAGAAGACAACCAAAAAACATTAACTTGACAGAATTCTTACCTGGCAAGTAATTGAGGCAGCTTGCCTCATCAATTTAAGTTCAGCCGGTGACTTTATCCACCGCAATTGATGAGTATAATATGAAAGATCTTTCACTTTTTTGCTGATAGCTGCTCTTTGGAATGGCTCTAACTCCATATATGATGGTACAGCGGTCTTTACATTATGGAACAATCTAGATGCACTTCCCATCATTTCCGGAAGGATCTGCATCAAAAGAATAACGAACAAGCTGAACTGTTGGCTTTTAACCGCAAAAGAATGCATCTTGAGTGCTACTAGATTAAATGAATAAGGTTAATTGCGATAGAACCCCTGTAGTTTTGCTGTTTTGAACTTAATACGCCTCTAGTTTTATTTTTGCAGGCAGACCCCTGAGTGGAATTTTTTTGGCTCTTATACCCTCAGGCAGCCTATTCGTCACGAAATAATTCTTTCTCTGAGAATAAAACAGTCAAAAAAATCTGATTCCAAGGATTTATATGCAAAAATAAAACTAGAAGGGTAATAAGTTCTGAACAATGGTACTACAGGGGGTTTATCTGCAATTAACCCAATAAAACATCACAAACAGGAGAGATCACACTGCAAAAGATGCCAATCACGATAGAAGAGGGAAAATATCTCCACTAGAGTCACGCAAGAATAACATCTCCACAAGCTCCGCTGCTTGTTCTGTGTTTCTGTGCATTTAGCTAATTAATTTTGAGCCACTAACCTTATGGATCTTGCTCATTGGATATGCCTTCTCAGCCCTAAAATAATCCAAGGCTGCATCAACTCCAGCAGTTTGACCTTGCCAAGCCACATCCTAGAAGACAAAGTTAAAAGTGTATCAAATTTGTAGTCTGTTTGACATGAGAAACACGTACAAATTATGTGACTATATGTCAAAATACACGGTACTTTTGTAGGAAATGAAGAAGATAGTACATGTTATAAACAAACTTCTTGAAATAATGCCGCAAGAAAAAAGATCCAAGTATTGAAAAATAATATTCAACATTTACAAGGGGTCATATGCTTGCACTAAAAAGCCAAAGAGTTTTTTTGCCATATTATAACTTAAATTCTCTCTTAGTTGCATATTAGACCCCCAAATGTTCATATTTCTAATTCACACGCTATCTATCAAGTTGTTTTAAATAGCACTCTTCAAAATAGAGATTGTCATCTGGACACAAAATTCTTTCTTAATTTTATAATAGACCCCATATCTTCATATTACCAAATAATTCATGGACATTAAATGAAACCCCAAAATGAAATAGCAACCAAACCACAGAGAAAGCATGATTAGAGCTATAATATTATTTGCACTTAATTATGCTTAACCTCCTAACTCCATAAAGAATTTATCCCTTTTTCTTCTATGTCCAACTACGTCTGCCTCTTTCTAAACTATAACTAATTGCAAAAGAATATTAGACCACCTAATATTCATCAAAATCAACAAACAAAGAGCTAAATATACATGAAAGCTGCATTTTATAGCTTACATGAGGACTTGAATCAGGCATAAACATACATAATCCATGCTCATGGCTTAGAACAGCAATGCCACCCGGTTGCATACAGCCAGTAAAATAGAGGTAATCTGCGTCCTGTCTGAATGTATATGGAACAACATCAGTCATCATTTTCATGGGAGCAGAAGCAATGATAGCTAAGCTCTTATCAGGAAGCAACTCCAAAAGTCTTTTTCTTCTTGAAGTATATTCAGCACTTGTGATTCCCGGGGTGATCTCATCTTCCGTTAGTAGCTAAAAGGAAAGGAAAAACAACTCGCTATGAAAAAAATATTGAGAAAAGGAGCTAGTAGTAAGGAGCATGAAATAATAACAAATTCTTGAAGCGCATAAATAAAAATATCACTAATAAGATCATATAAGAGGATGCTTCAGCACTCAAGGTAAACAAAACTTTGGTTAATACTTGATGCAGGATCATGTCTTTAGAAATTAAACATTCATTTAGTTGTAGAATCCACAAAATGGAAGAAGACTTAGAACTAAACATCATATACATGCGTATCAAACTATAAATTGTTTTTTTTTTTATAATTCAAAATCCATCAAGAGGTAGTTAAGAATGATTTGAGAAGTCACCATCATAAACTAGGTGATTACTTTAGGTGTCCAAGTTCTGAGCCATACCATGAAAAGAATGATAGGTCACTACATTTCCATAGACAACTAACAACAACAATGATAGTTAGATTGGACGAAGGTTAGAGAATTTAGCCTATGAATCAACACGAAGCTAGAACTGATAGCTGAGGGGAAAAGGTTGTATAGATCAATATCAATTATCAAATGAAATGAATGAGCAAATGAAAAGAAAGATCATGGTCGTCATAGTACCTGAGGATGAGATGACGGAGTTGGCTGCCCAACATCAATAATTCGATCGGTGCTATAAGGAGCACAATGGATAGAATCATATAAATGAGAAACTCGGGCGGAAACCTGAAATAACAAATCATTCAGATGAAACCCCATCATTTTGAGTCAAATGCGATAACGGTGCTTGAACATCATATACTAGAGACGTACAGAAGAAAGTTGTTGTGTTTAAGCATGATTGGTTAGCAAAGAGTTGTAAATTTGTCATCAGCTAAAGCACAACCAATAAAACTAAGAAACAAGAAAAACTTCAAAAACTTAGAACTACAACTAGCAGAATTCTGATGAAAACCCTGAATGTTTAAGCAGCAATGCAAAGCACAATATAGTATACAATAAGTAGCACCCCCGAGTTTTTTTACAGGGAACCAGTAAATGCGCGCTTACACCCAGAAAAAAGTAAAGTTGAGAACAGAACAAACTCTTATATGAATTTGATCTCAATGTTAAGTATTGTGTGTTCAAGTTCTATGGCAATAACAAGCAAAGCATAACCAATATATGTGTCAGCATTCACATAAAACTTAAAAACAAGTATTCAAATCCATTTAATTACATAAACTTTTCTCTTACTAATTCAAGAAATTCATGTAGAACACCGACTACTTCATTGTTTAAAATTCAATCAACTTATTATAACATCCTATTGGATCAACAATTTAGGCTCGAGAACAAGCAGCTAATTCACTTTGCATATAGAAATACCAATTTCGTAGTTCACTTAACTGTAGGGTTAAGAAAACCAAACTACTGTTATAAGAAAAAGAAAAACCCAATTAAGGATTATAGCATGAGAAAAAGAAAAAGATTGAATCTTGAGGGCAGGATTCCTGTTACTTTAATTGGGTGAAAGCAAAAAAGATTCGATCTTTGGGGAGTACCTTTGACCTAGAGAAGCTGCGAGAGAGTTTTCCGGCCAAAACTTGAATTGCCATGAATTTATGCGTTATTGCGCTCTCTCTCTCTCTCCCCCCTCTCTCTGTGAAATTTTGCGAAGCCCCTTTCTGTAGACTGTCTTTACTAGGAATGATCTCGACCGTCCGTTGGACGGGGTTCACGAAAATTGCGCAGGCTTGAAAATTTTTAGCCTCGCCCTCTATAGTTATGGATTAAGCTGGGGGATAAGATAACTATTTAAGAGCATCTCCAACAGCTTCCCCAAAATTTTCTCCAAAATGGAGAAACAAAAGTCATATTCTCCAAATTATTTTTGCTCCAACTCCAACAGCTTCCCCATTTTAAAAAATCGCATTTATTACAATAATAAAGCTCTCCCCAAAAATTTGGAGAATGCTGCAGATTTGGGGAAGGCTCCCTATTTTTTCTCCTCCTTCCCTATTTTGGGGAATGAGATGGAGAATCTGTTGGACCAAAAAAAAGCTCTATATTCTCCAAATTTGATTATTTCAAGAAGATGGGGAAGCTGTTGGAGATGCTCTAAGTGCCGTTTGGCAACGGGTTAAGTGAGATGCTTAGGCGGTGTTTGGTTGCATAATTTTATAAAAAAAATTTCTCAAAATACCTGACAATGGTAATTCTGTAATTAAAATTTTTTTGTAGATTTCCGTAAACTATGTTTGTTTCAAAAAAAATTTACAGAAATTATTTTCTGTAAAGTACAAAAAATTACCAAAGTTTAAAGAAATCAATTTCCTCTCAAAACTGGCGGAAATCACCCAGAAATCTGACACAACATTGACAGTTTTCTATAAAGTTATCAATTTTTTATAAATTTAGGGGGTGTTTGGTTTAATTTCTACAAATTATAAAAAATCTTGTTATTTTTTATAAAGTTTTGGGTCATTTTCTTGTTTTGAACCAAACAATCAAAGTAAAAAAAACAAGAAAAATTGTACTTTTTGACTTCTCAAAATTTTTTCTATAATTTTTTTTAAAAATACATGAAAATTATATTTTGGGTGGAAAATTGTTCCTATAATTTACAGAAATTGAACCAAACACCCCCCTAAGCTAAGAAGACTTAACCCCTTCTTAACTCACTGAACAAAAAAAATATAGAAGAATTAAAGTGAGTTAACCCTCTATAATTTGTCAAATGTAAAAAATACTAATGGTTAGACTAACCCCTCTTGAGAGACTAAAATAAGGGGTTTACTAATAATCTATTTAAGAGGATTAAGATTTAACCTCTCTATTCATAAAGAAAATTGTCAGAATCCTCGTTATTCCCAAACACTAAAACTGTTCACGATAGTTAAAATAAAACTTATTTAATGTGTTAATAATTTAGTCATTTGGGTTATCGAATGGGCTAACTACATTAATCATTCTCATTAATCTCTCTTTCTTAACCATTTGTCAAACTGGGCCTTAGTGGATAAATTATGGATTAAAATCAAAGTTTTTCTCCCATCTCCTATAAAACATAAATATTAGGGACATGCTAAAAACCCGTCTTTAATGGGCAATTTATACATAAACTATATTTAAATGATTTTTGTTGCAATCAGCCACCTGGACATACTTTAAGTTAAGTTTTTTTTCTATTTTGTTGTAATATTAGTTGTTAAATACCAGCCATATTAGAGATATGATCGTCAATGGAGGTTAGATAGAGTTAATCATAGAAAAAAGTAACTGAAAGTGGATTCATATGGTTGATTGCAGCAAAAAAAACCCTTTAAAAATGTTTATATATAAATTAAAAATCATAAGTGTTTTCTATAAATAACCCGATTTTAAATGTGGTTTCCATGATGGGAGAAAATAAAATAAAATCAGATATTACTTTTTGGCGGTGCGCAATGGGGCCAGGTGGATCCATCCAAACTAGTAATTTAAGCTGCTTGCAACCTTTGGAACTTATTCTAAATGTATATATTGGTGTAATTCCTGTACATCGCTGTGATTGCTGTTTAATACTAGAGAAGAACTATAGCCATCCATAATATAAAGAAGCATTATAGTAGTAATGTACTGTATTGTGTAAAAAAACATGCATTTCAGTATCTTCATCTGATCAATATAAAGAGATAAAATAGGTTTTATGATGGATTTCAGCCCAAAAAAGGCAAAAGGTTAATGATTTTATGATCATTTTCAACGGTTTATACAACACAAGACATCAAATCAACTTCCACGAAAAAATTCACATAAACCGCTGAAGAAACCCCTTCATCTGATCAATATAAGGAGCCATTGTCGGAATTATATGCCCCATATCATGCTCAATAACAACAGAACATCCCTCGTCGAATAAACCAACCAATTTCCTGCTCTCTTCACTATCAATTTGCCTATCTCTCCCCCTTCCATCGCCAAAAATATGCAGCGACGGACACCTAATAATCTCGCGACCAAGCTTTTCAGATGCAACATTAAATCCTGAACACAATATCGCAAATCTAAAATCCTTTTCGTGAATTCTCTGCTGCTGTTCCAAGAACAAAGCAGCCATTGCGGAACCCTGAGAAAATCCGAGGATTCCATCAAAAGGGCCAAGCTCGGAGATTACATTCTTTAGAAATTTGTACGATTCCTCGAATCCTTCGGTTTGTTGCTGGTACTGTAGTGGATCAAAGGGTTCATCTGCTATTTTCCAACCAGATTCATCTGATGAGGTTTTTGAAGAGATAAGCCATGCAAATCTTTTCTTGCATTTTTCTGAAGACGGTGGAGGAGTTTGATGAAGATCGGTTTGAGTGCTAGCATGGTAGATGAATGGTAGTTCGTGCGGGGCATTAACGAGGACGAACTCGGCTATGTTTTTGAGTTTTTTGGCAAGAGATGCTGTTCTTCCCTTGAAATTTGAGGCATTCTGTCTGAAACCATGCAAGCATAGAATTCTTAACTTCCTATGATGGCCATTACCTGTGGAATAGATTAAATCAAAATTAATAAATTTACTAAGTATAACAACCAAATCATGCCATAAAGTCCTAGCAATTGCACAAGATAGATGTTATTATGTCGCAAAGATTTTGTACATATGAAAAACCATTTGAACAATTTTCTCACGGGCCTGTCACAAAATGTTGACAGTTCTCTATAAATCTTGGAACTTGAGCAATGAAATAAACATTTCATAACAAAATAAATTTTCATACTGTCCTAACTTCTTTTTCAATTTTTATAATTGTAAAATATTGTTAGTTATTACCATGCACACGGTCAAACAAAAGTATACATAAGAAAAAAATATTTGCAATAGAAATGCAAGAGAGATTAATACTTCAGGAAAATTCAACATGTGATAGGAAGAACTATTTCCCAAGTCCCCAACCTAGTAAAAATATAGATATTTTACCATATACAAACAGGATTTGGTGATTTTAGCTTTATAGATCCTGTAATTATGGACCTTTAGCTTTGAGTTTTATCCAAAATTCAATGTTCCAGTATATAGTTTGTTGCACCGACAAAGTAACCAAATTCAAGATTTTCAATGTTAAAGACGATACAAACCTTACCATTTACGGAAGTTGAGACGTGATCAGATAGGAGTGCTGTTTCAACTTCAGTAGCAGCTTCAAGCGAGTCCAGCATATGTAATTGGTCATCCTTTATAGAGCGCAGTTGCCCGGTTCCCTTGCAATGTTTTTTGCATAGTTCACAAACGTATTCAGCAACAGCTTTACCCTGAGTTATCAGAAATAAATTTTAAACAGTCAGCGGAAGACAATTTCTCAGGCGTAATTAAATGATTCACCTGCTTAAGGTCGGTTCCTATAGATAATAGCCACAAAACTAGGACAATCATGAATGCTTGATATTCCATTCGTAAGGGTTTTCAAATATTTTTATGAACAATTTACTAGGAAATACAAACAATTTCTTGCTATAGTCAAAGTTTCTCCTCAAGCTGGAGAAGAGCATTACACCATCATCATTTGGTCCATACACATTTAGTAAATTTAAAATGAACTGATAGCTTCTAGGCCAAAACATCCAGACCTGTATGTTTGGATAACAAATTTAATTGTGAACAAACGGAACAGAACTGGACAATAAAAGAATGCTTTTCAGGAGGGAGGGAAAAAGTGCATCAGGATTTCATGCCGAAATTTTAAACAGAATAATCATGCATTCCTAAGTGCTGTCAACAATTTCTTCTGTATCCATAAGAATTTCATTCTTCGGATGGAGAATAAGCAGGTAAGCAATCTGTCAAACTATTATGATGAAGACAAAAGTCTTAATTTGACAATGAGCAAATATAAAAGTTAAAGAAGGAATATTGAAGAACTGCATCAACCACAAGTGGGAACTTTGTGGATTATACTTAACATGAAATAATGATACAAATCAAGTTTCTTGTTATGACAGTTAAAAGCTTTTATCTAGTACTAACCTGGCAACTATAACACACCAAGACCAACATCCGACAATAACTGCACCGACAACGAGATGAATAATCATCAAAGGAAGATCCACATATTAGACAAGCTCCAAGGATATTAGTATCCTGACTTCCAACTGAAACTCTGATTTTGCAGAAAAAGCATAAAAGTCATAAATCAGTAAGCGAAATGCTGAGGATATTTGATATGAGCAATGCTTGACATAAATTAAGGTCTAATTCTACTAAAGCTGATATTATGAGATGCCAATGAAGTTTCACCTGTGATCAAAAACAAAATTCTTTCCTTTGAAAAAACCACCATCAGGGAATTGCTCCAGATATCTTTGTATTCCACCATATAACTGGAGAGTCCAAGGATGAAATACAGATTAGAGCCTACAACCACGAGCACTAAAAGTATGCAAATACCCTAAACAAAATGCAGCAGCAGAATATTGTGTTTCTGATAAGATCTAATGGTAAGCAGGCTTAACACAACACCTTTAAAATGTTCAACGCTCAGATCATGAAACTAATTTGAAAAAGTGCTTGGGTCCTGTACTTTGAACACATTTAGAAGCTGGGCGATTTTACAGCATTGTTAGTTAATACAAACATATCATGTCAATTCTAGTAATCCGGTATGTGCTGAAGCTGAATTAACTCACTGCAACTTACTTCTAATTTAATCCTAGCAGCTTATTTAGCAAGTACAAAGAATCTAATAAGTAAGTTTCATGTCAAAAGGAGTAACATATTGAGCCCTAAGTGATGAGGAGATTTACATATATAAATAAAAACAAACTCTTCAAATCACATCCTTAGCGGGGTGGCACATAACATTAAGAAAGAGAAAATGATACAGATGTCTTTACAAATAAATCATTCCTTTTGTTCGCATCAAATTCATAGCACGGAGATCACTCATCCCTTAACTGAATATGAGAGTAACTGGATCCATTATAAATTCTGCAGTATACATGTACCTAATCTAATAAAAAGTGCATACTACCAAAAGATACATATAATATTAAACATTACCAACAGATAAAATTGAAGATATCCTTAATTAAACCCACCTGAAACACATTTTCATATCCAGCACCTTTAGATCTGATATATGCTGATGCCATTTCACATCTTATGCCTCCAGTGCAATACCTGAAAACATTGCCAATCACAACCACACATAAAAACTAGAGTTAAACAAAATATTTACAAGCCAATGTAAACATTCATGCATGATCAACTGCCAAATATAAAGCTGTTGTATTCTTGAAAATCTAGCCATTACATAAATCAACTGAATAAAACAGGATTATCTCTTCAAAGCAAAGATAATAATTATGCTTCCAAATAAGAGAAAAGAAGTAATACAAATGGACCAAATGGTAATTAGGCACTAAAGCGTCGGAATTGTTACTTCGGCTTTATTTATATAAGACCATGACCCTTGATTCCAGAACAGTACTTACATGAGAACATTTTTACCCTGCAGCTGTTCTGCATGCTCATCTATCCAAGAAGGGAGGTCACTATACTGCCTTATTTCTGGATCCAATGTCTCCACATCTGGGTTTTGGAACTTCCCAATCCTTGTCTCATATAAATTCCTAGCATCCAATAAAAGAAGCTGTTTCTCTTGAGTTGATGCTTGGGAGTCTGAAACCTTTCCTGCTGTACACGGCTAGCTTCATTACTACTAAGTATTGATCTTCGAAATATACAACAAAATGTTGCTTACATAATTGCAGTCATCAAAAGAAGCACTAAACCCATCACCTCATTTGAAAGGAAAAAGATACCAGAAGGATAAGTGTATCAATTACCAGCATCTTGCAGAACCGAATGGAACTCAGTTGCAGAGAGATGCTTTCCAGCATGGGAAATTTCAGGTGGCTTCAACAGAGGGTCGGACCTAAAAGTAACTAACTCCTGTATCATGAATAGAAATTCGATAAGTACTTTAAACCTCCTATTGCCCATCCCACTAGTAACTTATTAGTTTATAAATTTTGAACAAGAACCGTACATTACTGCTTACAATTCAAGATTGACAATAAATTGCATTGAGGAAGTTTATCCACAATGCCAGTGACATTTTGAATTTGACTTTTACATGAATGCTCTTTATTGTAATTGTTCAGCTACTGCCATGTAACTACCATATATAAGTGGTCATGCTAAGAGTAGTTAAACTAATACTCCAACTGCTGATGGCGAGTTAAAAGATATATTACATCAGTGTCACAGTTCTCCACCTATTACATTGCAGTAGAGATATTGGGTAGCTTCATTACATGCACAGTTTTCCAAACTACAGGAGAAAAGATAGTGAATTTTACAGCTTTGACCTAGACAATTTCCGATTACTGTTCGATGATTATCACTACTATCTTCAAAATGGTCATTTATGGTGCACTGTAATGGTCATTTACATTGCAGTAGAGATATTGGGTAGCTTCATTACATGCACAGTTTTCCAAACTACAGGAGAAAAGATAGTGAATTTTACAGCTTTGACCTAGACAATTTCCGATTACTGTTCGATGATTATCACTACTATCTTCAAAATGGTCATTTATGGTGCACTGTAATGTGCGCAAAGCCAACCATAAGCAATTGCAGTCAAAGTTCTTAAGTGCATAAATTCATCAATATCAGCTCAATTGCTAGCATAAAATGAACTATTACTCTCTCAAATCATGCATTAAAAAAATCACCTTTACAACTCTAACCGATAAATCAGTGAACCCACACTCTCTAGCAATTCTCTCATTCGACGGTCCATCGCAAGATGCAAGCTTGAAATCGGTCCCCTCAAACAAGCTATCAGATCTCAGCGCCTCAATGTGCTTCTCCAACGCTGGCATCTTACCGCCAACCTAATCAGCAGAAATCTCCGCAAATCAACAAAAAGATAGAAACTTTACGAAACCCCAACCCTAATCAAATCACAACGCGAGATTACGGTGACATTGACGCCATCAGGAGCGACCCGAACGCGGCCGAGGAGGCCGAGGGACCTGCAATTTGACTCGTAGAACCTGACGAGGGCGGCGACGTCGGGAACTGGCGCGTACTTGTAGTAGAGAAGAACGCCGTCGGGTTCCGCCATTGATTGTTCCTCGAAACCCTAAGTTTGAAAAATCAAAACCCTAAGTTTTGTCCACAGTGACGATCCTGGTTCGGGTCGGATACAGCCTGGCCTTTATACCCATTGATACCTGTACCCGCCGGAAAGTTGTGAATGCAAAAAAAGATGTAGCTGACCTTACATTAATTAAACTTTAGTGTGATCACAGTAATTTTTCCCCGCTACAGTAATCCCATAATCCCGATTTTTAACTGCTACAGTAATTGTTTAAATTGTTATAGTATCTCATTTCTACTACAGGGTTCCTGTGTGTTACGGTAATATTTTAAAAAAAAACACATTGTCCAGTTTCATGTTTTCTACACAACTAATGAGTTTCATGTTTTCTACACAACAAATGATATTGTAATATTACTATAGTATGAATAGTAAATCTTGGGTTCTCTCGTTTGTACAGAAGAATAGATACTTAAACGGAAACCACCTGTATCTCAAATGGTTAAATAATAGCCTTATGCCATCGTGTTTCGACTCCTGGTAGCTGTATAATGTGTGTTTTTTTAAATAAAATTATCTTTTCATATCAGCTAGTTCGACTCCCGGCCGTTGCATAAATATTTTTGCTCTGTTTCTCCTTAAAAAGCATTATATTGAAAATATTTTAGCTCCTTTTCTCCTTAAAAAGCATTACATTGAAAATACTTGAACAGAAATCACATGTATCTCAAATGGTTAAATGATAATCTTATGCCATCAGGTTCGACTCTTGGCAGCTACATAATTTGTGTTCGGTAAATAAAATCACATTTTCATATCAGCCAGTTCAACTCCTAGTCGTTACATAAATATTTTTGCTCCTTTTCTCCTTAAAAAGCATTACATTGAAAATATTTTTGCTCCTTTTCTCCTTAAAAAGCATTACATTGAAAATATTTATGTTGTATGAATAATTTCACCTATTTTGTACATGTAAGTACTTGCAGCTCAATTGTTTTAAATTTATGTTTTCATATCATCCAGGTTTGACCCCCGGTAGATGCATTTCTTTCCCCTTTTTTCCTTAAAAAAAATCAAACGTTATGTCATGTCTGCATGGGTGAGTCTACTTTTCGTTTTTTAACAAATATTTGTCATAGGGGCTTTAAGGATAAATACACATTTGTAATCAAAGATTAGGAGTACTTGATTATCAGAGAAGCGCAGATCATACTCATTTTCAAGAAGCTGGCTCATACTGAGTAAATTGTTCTTCATATTCGGCATATAGAATATATCAGAAATAAACTTGTGGTCTTCATTCTTCAGCTTGATGAGAACTAGCCCTTTCCCCATCACTGGTAGTAGTGTTGTCATTGGCAAACTTGACTTTGGATCGCATCGACTCATCCAGGTCCACGAACAACTTCTTCTTTCCGCACATGTGATTAAAACAACCAGTGTCAATAAACTATGTATTGTAGTTTGATTACCGATTTTTGTGACCATCAATAAAGTGTGATTGTCTTCATCACCTCTTTCTTGTGCAAATAGAACTTCTTCTCCGGACTGGGAATTATCCTGGTACTTACACTCCTTTGCATAGTGGCCATATCTTTGACATATGTAACATTCACTGTTTGATTTATTAAAATTTCATCTACCACGTCCAAAGCCTCGGCCTTGACCTCGACCTCAACCTTAATAATTTAAATTTTATTGATAGTTGCTTCTCTGATTGTCGTCATCTCTTTGATTGTTGTTATAACTACCACACCCTTGATAATTGTAGTATCTGCGTCCTTGGTTGTTGTAGTTCATGTTGGATAGTGGAGCGTGGGGACCACCTATCAAGAGACGTGCGTTTTCTGAATTCGTTTCCATGTGGGGTCCACATCCCACAGATGTTTTTTTCCTCGTGATAGACACGTGCGTCGAACGCGTTTTTCAGATGCTTTGGCCAGCTATAAATAAGAACAGGGTCTGTTCCTAGGGTTTGGTGCAGAAGGGGGTTCGCGCAGGCAGAGTGCAAAGAAAAAAAAACTCTGGCCGTTTTTGTTTTTCTTTTGGCAGCGCGCAGGCAGAGGGGAAAACGACGCTTGCGGCTGTGTTTGGTGAAGAAGAAGCGACAACTTTTGAGAGGGTTTAGAGCATCTCTTTGAGAGAGTATTTGTGTGAGGGATTTTGAGAGTTTGTGTGAGGATTTAGATTGTGAGATTGTAAACCCTAGTTGTATTCTCTCCCTCTAATAGTAGATCTCCCCCCTCCTTGCCCTGTGGACGTAGACAGTTTGCCGAACCACGTAAAATTAGTTTGTTTGTGTTTGTGGCCATTATAATAGTTTTTAGGTCCCTCGACAAGTCAGTCCTAGAACTGATGAGAGGAAGAGCCGATATCTCACTTTGTTGAGATATTCGCTTCAAATTCTTGTTTCCTTGGTGAAACGGGAATTCTTATTGCGATCTTTCTCTCTTATTGTGCACCAGAAACTCTGCCGAAATTTTCGCTGCGCACAACAGTTCCCATATCCTTGTCCTCTGCCACGAGAAATTCCTCCTCGCTGTCGTCTCCTTTATAAAAGCTTGACTTTGAAAAGCTTTCTCAATGGGCTTCTCGGTTGACCTCTCGTTCATGTGTTGCTCGTGAACTTGTAAGGTACCTATCAACTCATCATCTGTCATCTTAGACAAATCCTTCGATTCTTCGATTGCCACCCCAATATGATCAAATTTTGCTGTAATAGATTGCAATATCTTCTCTACAATTGCTAAATCTAAAACCTTCTCCCCGTTTATTTTTATTTAATTTATCAAAGCAAGTACTAGAGTCATGTAAGCTGCAACACTTTCAAAAGGTTCCATCTGCAAAATTTTAAATTGACGCCTCAATGTTTGAAGCCTAACTTTTTTCACCTTCTCAACTCCATGATACGATGTCTCCAAAATATCCCACTCTTGCTTTGTTGTAGTTGCTCCGTCGATCTTCTTACGAGATCGGCAACTCCGTTCTCTACGACACCCAATACATCTTAATATTCAAACAACACATTCATCTGTACTCTCCACTGATGATAATTCTTTTCATCCAATATAGAAATAGATTGCGACGTCGTTCCGTTTAGATTGTTCATGGCTCTGATACCATTACTCAAACATTCAATAGCAAAGCAAATAGAAGTATAATATGTATGATGAGAGATTTAGTGGGAGAACCAAATAAAAAAGTTCTTTTTAACTCTCTGTTACTGTAACTACAATATTCAGATTTTTTTATGTCCGTCTTTTTTTCTCTTAGGTACAAAGATGCATGAATGCCTATTTAAAGATTCAACGAAGTGTTTCATAATAGAATTCTAGTATAACTATAATTTCTAGAGATAACTAACTCAAATCCTTTTAGAATTAGGATTAACTTCAACAGGGGGGGTGTATGTAATTTTTTTTATTTTAAAGGGTTTGTCATATCCTAATTTGTCAGAATTTTCTTTTTCCTTCTAATTT